TTTTTTTTTTTTTCTTTATTCCTTCTTTTTCCTCCTCATTTTTCTTTTTGGTGCACGAGAAATACGAGAAGATCGAGGGAACACGCGAGATCGAGAAGAAGCGAGGATTATGAATAACGAGTCTTTCAATTCAAACTACCGTACTGCCAATTTTTCCGATGCGACGCGTAAATAACTTTAATAAAAGAGTTTAAGGCGAGGCGAACAGCCGCGACGAGCGATACGATTCGCGTCCAAACGCGCTCGTCCGACCTTCGTTCGTTTTCTTTCGTCGCTCCGAAGTCCTGACGGAGGACTGTTCCGCGTTGTATCATCAGGAGGGATGACGTGCCACGGAGGGTTCCACTTTTCGTGAACGAAGAATTTTCTATCATCATTTTTTTTTTTTTCCTATTATTTTCTTTTTCCAACAAGAATTGAGGATTTTGCAGCGAGAGAAAAAATTTTTGAATCATTATACGTATGATATTCCCCTCTTTCCAAAAGAAATATATATTGTCTGGTGTAAAATAAACGGAATGATTTATCGTGGATTTTGGATTGTTTTGCGTAACAAAAGAGAACCTGGATTCGGATCTGTTTTCTTACAGAAAACATTTTTAATAATAATAATAAAAAATTAAATCGATAAGATTACGTATTTTATCGTTAACAGAGATAATTTTTGTGATATTTTGAGAAAATTACAATAACGATTTATTAACCATTGTGTGGAAAAAAACCAATTATTTCCAATAATTAATATTTTATCTAATATATCGAAGCAATAATAATTCCACAACTGTTACGCTATAAATGAATCCGTTCCCCCTTCGCTGCAAGATCCTCGATTCATTCACACGATAAATTAAACCCGAATAAAATCTCCGAAAAATCTCGTTTGGGTGGGGATCGATTATTCTATTCGAATGGAACGAGAAGAACAATGGGAAAGAACTGCTTTCACCTCGCATAATCGTTGGAAAAACCAACCAAAGGATTTTCCTTTCCTTCCCTTCCTCCCTTCAACGGGTCAATGGGGAAAAGGAAGTCAATGAACCAGTCACAAGCGCGAGGCGAATTCGATCGGTCGAACCGTTTCCGCTTTGTTTCCGCGCCGAAAAGCGTCACCCTCCGCGTCGCCGATCCCTCGTCCGACCCTCTTGCTTTTTGCATCGTGAACGGGGAAGAGGGAGGGGGGAGGAAAAAAAAGCGATCCTTTTGTAATCAGGACACCGTCCACAGGACCTGCGAGCGTAGCAGGATCGACCATTGTTCCTGACACGCTCGATTCGTGATTGCGATTCGACACCGGGAGATCGAGCTTGCGTTCGAGATTCTACACACCGCCAATTAACCGCCATCTTGTCATTTCTTCCGCGAAATTTTCGCGGTGGATCGAAGGAGAGTTCTTCATCCTCCGCGATGATGGAAGCGTTGAGAAACAGAAAATGAATGGGAAATGTGAATTGGTGAACGTGAACGAGTTCGAAGAATCGAAGAATCGTGTATCGATCTGTTGCCTTAAAACGATAATACGTAATACTGAGATGGATTGATAATGGATTATTGATGCGAAAGTGGAAGAAAAAGAAATTATGCAATTTTGAAAGTTGCTTATTAAATTTTATTAGATATTTTATCTCGTAGAATTATTAATGATTTATAAGTTTTTAGTGAGTTTTTTATCTTTTTATCATTTTTTATTCTCGATTCGAATTCGAAGGTTTGATCGAATTAAATTAGGAACAGTGTTTAAACGATCTGCAATTTTGAAAATTGCTTATTAAATTTTATTAGATATTTTATCTCGTAGAATTATTAATGATTTATTTAGTGAGTTTTTTTATCTTTTTATCATTTTTTATTCTCGATTCGAATTCGAAGGTTTGATCGAATTAAATTAGGAACAGTGTTTAAACGATCTGCAATTTTGAAAGTTGCTTATCGTAAATTTTATTAGATATTTTATCTCGTAGAATTATTAATGATTTATTTAGTGAATTTTTTTATCTTATTATCATTTTTTATTCTCGATTCGAATTCGAAGGTTTGATCGAATTAAATTAGGAACAGTGTTTAAACGATCTGCAATTTTGAAAGTTGCTTATCGTAAATTTTATTAGATATTTTATCTCGTAAAATTATTAATGATTTATAAGTTTTTAGTGAGTTTTTTATCTTTTTATTATTTTTTATTCTCGATTCGAATTCGAAGGTTTGATCGAATTAAATTAGGAACAGTGTTTAAACGATCTGTTCTTTCGAGTTGTTACTTTTCATTTTTCCTCGATAATTATAAATTAGATAGATTTCTTGGTGTATCGTAAGTGTATATTCGCGATAAACATTCTAAACACGCGTCACACGTTTCTAGCCACGTGTGCCTCGAACGTACAAACCCGCATATAGTTTCTCAACGCATCTAGGTCAGAATCAATCACAAAATCGCGTCTCCCGGTCGGTAACTAGACAGTTATGTAATCAAGCGACGTATAATCGAGGTAGAGGCGAGATCAGATTTGACGATTCGAGGATCGTCCATAACTACGGGGAGCACGTAATTCGTCGACCATATTTCCTCGTTATTTATGTATATTTTTCTTAAAACGATCGAAAAGGGGGTCGCTTCTCTTTTGAACCTTTTTTTTTAATCTCGTAACTCGTACGAATTTTAAACAAACGTTGAATCTTTGAAATCGATTCGAATTTTCAAATTTTCGCGCGCAACGGACGTTCGTCGAATCGCGAGAACAAGGACGAGAAAAAAATGGCGGCAAGTTCGAAAGGAAAGCGATCGCCTTGGCTGTAGCCCCGTGTAAAGAGATATATAAAAAAAAAAAAAAAATTACAAAGATGAAACTCGAAGAGGAAGAAGAAGAAACGTACGTAATAGGATGTTCGTCGAACTGTATTGCGCGTATGTCTAGTTTCCGATGTATTTTAGTTTGATAAGCGGGGAAAATTGTCTCTCCGATCAGAGGCTCGGGGTTACGCACCGTGTTATCGATCATACTTGGCAATAACGATATTTTTAATCGTACAACTGTAAAAAAAAAAAAAGAGAGAGAAGCAAAGGAGTGAAGAGAACGGAGAGAAAGAGATAATTAAAAAAAAAAAACAAAGGAGAGAAAAAATCTATATATATAAATAAATGAATAAATAAATGAATAAATAAATAAATAAATATACGTACGTAATAAGTGGACGGAAAGGTGTATGAAAGAAAATTTGAAAAGGTAGTTGGAAAGAAGAATTATCGACAGCGGTCAAGCGCCAGCACGTTGTAACAAGTACACCCGATAGTTGTAACTAGAAAAGGGGTGAAGACGTTTTAGCCGATGGTGTTGTCCGTCTTCGGTAGCTTCCACGCCTTACTCTCAAAAGTGAAAAAAAAAAAAAAAAAAAAAAAAAAAAAAAAAANAAAAAAAAAAAAAAAAAAAAAAAAAAAAAGAAAAAAATAAATTAAAATTCATTATTTAACACGTTCTACGATCCTTCTTCATTTAACGCGAGATATTCAGAATTTCATTATTCTCTACTTTGTACCCTTGACGCCAAGATTGACGAGTGAGAAAAAGAAAGAAAGGAAGAAAGAAAGAAAAATATGTCCAAAATTTTCCAACGTTTTTTTTTTCAACACGGCATCCCAAATCACTCCAAGTTCCAACTTCCATTTCAACCCGAACTTAACCACTGTCATAAAGGTGTCGTTGAACTTTCCACGATCCGTCGATTCGAATCGCATATATAACATTTCCTGTCGAATTCGTTCCCAACTCCACTGAACCGTGCCCTCGAAAAGAAAACACGGGATTAATTGATGTTTGCCGAACGACAGCCGCAAAGGCAGTGACGGGTGGCGGTGGCGCGTCCACGCCGGAAATTGATTCGTATTTGCGCGAGCATCGACAGCAGGACGTGCTCGTTAGCCGATTCGAAAACGAGTTGACACGATGTTTGGCCGCGGCGCGAAACGTTTTATATTATCCCGGCATATTTATGGCTGTTTTCGGTTTTATCGGTGGACACCCGATCGCGCATCACTTTTTCAACACGAATCACGGTTGTTGGGTCGCTTTATTTCCGGAACATCGGTCAAGGACGCGTCGATATATCGGGCCAGGGTTTAAATTGGAAAGTGAACGATGGAACCGACGCCTGGTTTCCTATACCTTCCTGTACCTTCCCTATCGATCGAAGCGATAGATGGATAGATTTCGCCTCGGAGATTTACTCTGAAATTTCAACGCCATCATCCGAAGGGGGACGATCGAGTGTTCCCTTCCTTTTAAATAAATTCAAGTCGTGAATCGGTGGACGGTAAGCGTTTGTTGGCTAATTTCGTCCGAACTATTCAGGAACGGACGGTTTCTATAGGTGGAGATGTGGTGAGATCTGGATCTGGGTCACCGTGTCGAATATAATATTTTTAAGGAAACCGGTCGAAATTTCCCTTGGCGCGGATTCGGTTGATAATAGAGCGCCCTTTCCTTACCTCATCCTCGTGGATTTTAATTGAGACGGGTTCTTCTCCCGGATTATTTGACTGACAGAGACAGAGATTTTCGGGGGGTAATCTTCTCTCGCTCGAGTCGGTTCGATTTCGAATTCGTTTATTCATATTTTTCGACGTGGGACGCTCGAATATTCCGGAAGCAAAAGTGTAATTATTTCACTGTCTCCGGTTGCACGCCCGCCTCGACTCCGCCGGAATCCATTAACGATCGGTGTGCTTCTCGTTAACAAGATTGTCGACAGAAAGTCGATAGTTAATTACGCAAACGAAGGGATCTTGTTAAAGATGGGCCACCTTCTGTCCTCGATGCCTCTAAATCTCGATCGATCTCCGATCGATTTCTCTCACGGACTTTATAATTCCCTACTTTAGCTTCTCCTTATTAACTTTTCTTTAAAGGGGCAATCGTCGCAAGGAGGGGAGGATTAGAATGAAAGAGATACGGGAGATATATTTTTAATAAGATTGTAAAGAATTTAGAAAAAAGGGAGGGGAGAAAAGAACGGCTTTCGCGATTCGTTATTTGATTATCGAAAGATTAAGTTAAAGCGAAATATCTCAAAGTTATTTCTTCGTCTTTAATTACCATATAGAAATTAAATTAATGAAGGAAAAGAAAAAAAGGAAATAGGAAATTAAAAAAGGAAAGAAGCAAGAAATTTGAATAGATTTTTTTTCGCTCGACGATCGACAAACGAGTTGAATTAAAAAGAAATACTAAAGAAAGGGGAGAGGGGATATATTCTTTAAAAATAAAGAAAGAAGGAAAGAGAGAGAGAGAAAAAAAAAGGAAAGGAAAAAGAGGGTATAATTTGCATCGCCACCATTTGACATGGGCCACCGGAAGGGATTAAGGGGGTAAATCCGCGAGGGAGTGTTAAATCGTGGGAACGAGGGATCGACTTGTCCGCGTAAACAGAGGGGAAGAAGAAGCGGAGCGCGGGGATGAGGCAGACGAAAGTATCTTTCTATCTCTAGATACAAAGGCTCTCTCAGAATAAAATGGCATGATTAAAAACTCTCATAGAACGGAACACTCTTTTTTTTTCTTTTTTTTTTTTACACATACACACGTGGACGCGGCATTGTCGCAGTCGTTTCCGGTGTTCCAAGCTCTTTCATCGCGTCGATTCTTTTCGTTTTCTCTCTCTCTCTCTCTCTCTCTCTCTCTCTCTCTGTCTGTCTCTCTCTCCAAATAAAAACGAGCCATCGGATGGATGGAGACAAGGCGAGTGACAAGGATGGACAGAGGTGAAGATCTAAAGAAAGAAAGAGAGACGGAGAGAGAGAGAGAGAGAGAGTTAGATCGGTCTACAAAGGCCGACGTTTTCAAGATGAAATAACCTCAAGTGGCGGCGCGTGTTAACTGAAAACAGTCAAACGAATCTTTACACCGTTTGAATCTTTTCGATTTTCCACGGAATTTAGAAGCGAGAACATTGACGCCATTCACACTTATTTTAACGCGTTTTTATCAGGGATCAAAGGGAAATACGTAAGAAATGGAAAGAGATTCGATACGAAAACCGAATATACGCGATATTATTCGATATTACACACAAATATCAAGATCTTCAATTACCTTATTAGAAGAATATTAACAGCATCTGTTAACTACATTTGGACTGATTCGATCGTTTGGAAGAATCGAAAATGAATTTGGCACGTGGAAACGAGAACCGATTGAAAACCGTTTAAAAACCTATTTAAAAAAAGGAGCGTTTCTTTGGGATTATTAAAGCGTCACCAAGAGAGAGATATCGTATGGAGGAGGGAGGAGAGGGGAGGGAGAGGCGAAAAGAGTCGACGACGCGTTGTTTTAATTAAGCGGAGGAAAAAAAAGTGGAACATCTTTTGGAGGCAGCGTGTTCCATGTCTCGCGACAGAAAGAGAGAGAGAGAGAGAGAGGGGGGGGGGAGGGGGAGAGGCATTCGGTCGCGTCACAATTACGCCACCTTACGTGCGGATTTAATTATTCTCGGCGAGCAACCGGAGCCAGGCCGTATGTACGTTCCAATTAATTACTGCTGGTCGTTTACTGGCGAGATTCTCGTCACTGCTAAAAGTACCGTAATCCAAAAGGGGTCGACTGTACAAGGGAAATGACGTTGGTCCTTTATCGTTATTCCTCCAAGTTTTCTCTGTGAAACTCCTTTCACCTCCCCGTGACACCTTGCGAGATCACCAAAGTGTGGACTCCTTCCTTCTCGATAGTAGCCTCGTTAGTGGAAACGTTTTTATTTCCATCAATTTTTCTTTTTTTTTTTTTTTCTTTTCCCTCGTGCAATCACGTAATCGACAGTGTTTCGCCAACAAAAATGTTTGTCCAACCAAACTTTTTTCCTCCGTACATCCTCGCCTTGAATCATCGACCCGTGCAAGGATGGCGTTAGTCGGGCGTTAGTTCGCCCTCCTCGAAACCTAGGGGGATGGAACGGTCTGCTGGAAAGTTTACTTTCTCGATTTCAGAGAATCAGGTATTTACTCGAGATATATATTTTAATAATCTCTGTCTTTAAAAGCTTTTTTTTCTTTTTTGATTATTTATTTAGACCAGGATCGAGAAATATTTTATTTATATCTTTTGATTGATAAACAGTTTTAAGAATTTTTCTTTTCTTTTTCTTCTTCTTCTTCTTCTTCTTCTTTTTTTTTTTTGTTTTAATACACCGATTTTTATTAAAATATGATTAAGTTAAAGTTTGTCCAAGAATTTAGACTCTCTAGGTGACGATGCACGAGGATATGCAAGAGAGCTGCAGGATCCCAGCAGGATCCGAGGAGAGGAAGAAGAAGAAGAAGAAGAAGAAGAAGAAGAAGAAGAAGAAGAAGAGGACGCGAGAGAAGACAGGAATGGCGGAGGGGAGAGGGCAATTGTTTGTTATATAAACCGTATATAAAAAGCTCTCTATCGGCTGCTGAAAGAATAAATAAGCTGCCTCGTAAAGCTCCTCGTCGTCGTCTTTTTCATTCCTCCCCGTTCCGGCCAACCCTTCCTCGTTTGCAGTTTATTACACAGCGGGGGAGGGGAAACGATCCTCTTTCTCTCTCTTTACGTGTTTATACTCCGTTTATTTGTCTTTTAAAGTCTGCCGTCGTACACAACGAACGAAACTCGTTTCTGCGTAATCACGATCCGAACGTTCACGCGAGCGGCCGTTTTTTTTTTTTTTTTTTTCCTTTTTTTCGTTTTGTTAAAAACAACCTTACCTACAAGATTTCGAAACGGATCGCATGCGGTAAGCCTATAAAAATTTATAAATCGTAATCGCGTCTTATCAATTTTCAATCGTTCCATTTTAGCGAAGGTGACCTCCTTACCTCGCGTAAGAAGAGATTCGAATCCCATTTATTTCATCCTTTTCCCCAATCGCGTGTCAACGTTTGGATAATCATTATGTGTAACCATAAATTGACGAGAAACGAGCGTGGCTGAGCGATCGTGTGAACGTTCCGTGAAAGGTATGTATCTGTGTATGTATGTACGTACGTATTATCTATCGTAGCAAAACTCGAAGGAGACAACGAGTAAGTAAGTAAAGGGTAGATTAAATCGTGGAATGGACGAACGGAAATCTCGTGGAAGATTTTCGTTCAACGATGGCAAAGAATACGATTCGTGTCGTGAAGAGGGGGTGAGTACACAATACGTTCAATTCGATATATTACGTAAAGTAATAATCTTAAACGCGAATCTTAACAGGTAAATATTACGATTAATTAATCATTTCGTAGACGGTTGCGTGTTTCTCTATATAATTATATATAAAAGGCGCTGGAAATTCTTCTAGCAGATTCGAATAGAAAAACCGCCTTCGTTTCGTTCGATTCTTTGCTTAATCGCTCGTTCCCACGGAGCGATTATCGATTATTCTTCAAGAAGGAACACCTCACTTATTTTCCTTGTGTTGATTGCTGCGATTTGCACACAATCAATTCTAATCGCCGAAGACGGCAAAGATCGAAACGAGAGGCAATAGTTTGCAGAGACAGGTCGATCGAACGGATCCAACGATTCCTCCTCGCGTCGTTTCTTGCATCCTTGATTCAGACAGACGTTCTACAGGAAGGTGCTCCAGTAGACCACGTTCAAGATGAGGAAGGAGAACGGAAAGAAGAATCTGGACACCTTGTCGATGTAGATCGCAGTCGCTCGACCCTGGCAGCAGGTGTCGTATTGAACGGTCGCGGGCCTGACCGGGCTTCTGTTCCTCTCCGAATCGTTCCTCATAGGTGTCTGTCGGGAGAATCAACAATTGGCGATGAATAAATCATCCGCGAGAATTTTCTCCATTCGAAGAGATGGAAGAGTTCAATTTGAGGAAAAGGGGACAATTTTTACGGGATCGATGCAGGGGTAGATCGAGGGTATTTTGGCAGGAAGGGGAAGGATAAATTTTTTAGCGAAAAATAAGCGCACAGAGTTGTATAACGGAGTTTGAAATAACGCAATTACAGCGGCGTGGTCAATTCGTTGGTTGATGTAATAAATTATTAAGCGGGCCGTAAAAGCACGCGTTTCGAATTTCTAGCAAAGCATCGGACCCCGTTGTAGTACAAGAGGGGTGGCTCGAATGAAATTTAAATTAATCTCGGCCTCCTCGGGTTCATGTCTTATTCAAGGCACGCGAGACAATCTTTCTTTCCCCGTCCCCCAAGTGCACGCGCCACTTTCCAGAAATGGAAACTTCCCTTCTGCGATACGTAACATTTTTCCTCGAGGTTTACCTTCGTCATTTTGCAATTTAAAAAAAGCATTTCCGACAATTCGTAACTCTCATATTTCCCTTTAAAATAGGAAGTAATAAATAAAGATTTAAAATTTTCAACTTTTAATCTTTCTTTCAGGAGGATTGATCAATTTTTATTATTCCACGATTTTATATTTCTAATTTTTTTTTTTTTCTTTTTAGCTCGTCGGGGATTTTTCTAAACGGTTCGATCATATGTTATAATTCGACGAGATTCGAAAAAGCGTCGAGAGAGAAAGATCCATTTCGTTTGGACCGAGTTTCCGCCAAGTTGTTGGCCGAGCGAGTTTGAAAACTTCTCACTTTACTCACCCGGGACGAACTAATTTCGCCTCGCAAGATAATGTTTGTTCCTCTGCCTCGCGAATGGAAAACGCATCTTTTCGCGGCGATTCGCCATTTTCACGCGCGATTATCTTTCTTTTTCCGTTTCTCTTTCTCCTTTTTAAACCGTCTCGAATGAAAAGTAAAAAATTATTTTCGCTTCGAGGAGAACCGAACAAAGGACTCCTCTTCTTATACAACAATATTTCGTTTCGTTTTGTTTTCCATATAAAAATTGCGCGCAATGAATGAATGATCGCGTGGATAATTAGGTCACCGTTTGTCGATGATACTTTGATAAAGTTCGATAAACTTAGTTGGTTCAAAGTAATAGTAAAAATTTAAGATTCAACTCACATTCCCTTCGATCCTTTTCAAACCGTTCTCGAAACCGTACCGTTCTCGTTTAACGTCGTAATTTTAATTTGATGAAACGAAACCATGTTTTTTCTGCGAAGGGACGAGTCTTGTAAATTGTAAAAATTCTTCGCCCGTGGAACGTCGAGAGAGAAAATCGTCGACTCGATCACGATCCGTGAACCGTGAAAGCTAAACGTTTGCGCAGTTTTCGAGGGCAGGTTACACGCATACACACGGAAGCATAAAAAATTCAGAGTTCCAGTTCCATGAAAAATTCACGACGTTGACGATAGTAGCATTAAACAGTAGTGTGCGCTATAATTTCGAGCGATCGTGTTTCGATATTAGCTTCGAATTAATATTTAGAACCGAACGTTGACGTTTATGTGAAAAATTCAAAACGAGAGTTAATTTCCACGCTGGATCGAATCGATACTGAGAGGAGAGAATGCATGCATTTCTTGAATCCGCGGAAAATTTTAAATTGAAATTATTCTCCTTTCGTAGAAAATTCTTTATTATCGTCGAGGATAGATATTTATATTTCATATAAAATTCAAAAATCATGGTCACAATATAAAAGATATCGTTGTTATTCTCGATTCTCGATATAGAAACATAAATTTGTCATAAATCGTTACAAATCGTGTTAAATATATACGGAAACCGTTCGTTATATATCGTATTAATTATTCATTCATTATACATTAACATCGAAAGAATCACAAAATTCAAATTAGCCTCGTGTTATTATATCATTATTATTATTATTCCATAATATCATTTAATATGATATAAATACGCATAAATCAACACCGAGTCGAATGCAAACACCTATTCCATTATTACAATACATTATCCAAAAACAAAGAGCGGTATAAATAAGATAAAAACATACATTCAAACGAATTTTCTTCCCTTTCGCGCGATGATACCTTTTTTCAAATTATTCCACCATAAAAATATCCTATATATAAAAAAAAAATTGAAAAAGAACCTATTTATCAATTTTCCATTCCCCTTCCTCCTCATCTTTTATTTTTTGATTTCGAGTCAAGTTTTTGCATACCGCGGAAAGTCGGCGGAAATCGACTTTCGTGGAACCAGCGCGTTAATTAAAGTCGCGACACTTTCGGCCCGCTGAATTTTCTAAGTGTGTCAGGTGTTGCCAGAATATAGTCACGCGAATATATCGGGTGTGCCCTTTTTCTCGACCGTCGTTTTATTATTCGTTATTTATCTTTCGCGTTAAACGATCGAGTTCCAAGAAACTTTAAAAAAGTAAAAAAAAGAAGAGAGTTCGTTCTCTTTCCCCCCTCACCTTTTCCTCCCCTTCTTAACTTCGTTCTCCTCTTTACGTCTTTCGTCTCTTTACGTTTTTTTTTTTTCCAGAGGCGGAGAAGAAACTCTGCTCCATCAATTTTTCCAACCATCCCCGCAACTCGGCTATTTATTATTACCCTCCTCGAGTCGGGTTCAGGAACGCTTAACCCTTACTAATTGTAAGTTCGAGATGCATAATTCTTTGGGTAAATGGGAAACGAGAACGCGTTGCCGCATGAATTACCTCGCGCAAACCACTCCTCTCTCCTTCTCTCTCTCTCTCTGTCCTCTATTTTTTCCCCGGTTTTTCCGCAAATTTTCCCTCCTTTCACGCCGGGGATCATTTGTGCCGTCGCCATTTTCCATTCCCCCGTTCGACATTTCCGCGATAATTAACGACAACGCGAATTTATAACCTTCCACGAGGCAGGAGTGAAACATGATATTTTTACACGCGTTCCTGCTTAATTTGATATTGGCCCGAGTTTTTTTTTTTTTTTTTTTTAATTTACGATCGACGTACAAACACTGGTTGTTGCACGCTTCCTATTTTTCTCCTATGTTTCTCATACTCTGGCAACCAGTTATACTGTTTACGATTAATTTTTGACAGGTTGCCAGAAAAAAAGAAAAATGATAAAATAGGTATTTTTTTTTTTTTTTTAAAGAAATTCGGAGACGTTCTAGTTTGTCTTACGCGTTTATACGAAGAACGGAGGGATTAATGGATTGGAAAAATGGAAGATTAAGTTAAGATTACTCGTACTTTGAACTCGTCGATGGCTTCTCTCAGATCTTCGTCCGAGTAGCCCTTCATCGCCTTGGTGGCAACCGGCCCCATGTAATTGTTCACCACGGCGAATTCCATGAGCGAGAGGAACACGAACACGCTGCACGAGGACATCCACACGTCGATGGCCTTCACGTAGGAGACGGGCGGCAGTGATTGCTGAGACTGCGTGTTCTGAGTCGCTGTAAATCGAGCAATTAATAAACATTTCTCGCCCGTTTGATTTACGTTCCTGGTATTTCAACGTTGCACAAGTTTATAGATTCTAGTTTGAGAGCATCAATTTTAATGTAAATATTATACATTAAACAGAGAATACACGCTTTTCGACGATTTGACGCACATTCGACAATCGTAAATCGAGCAGAGATCTTCTTCCAAACTTTAAACGCATTTCAATTCCACGATTTAAACACACCTCGTTATTTCGGATGTTGTTTAAAAAAAAACGCGTTTCCTCCTCTTCATGCTTCCCGATTCATTTCAATTCGAAAGCAGTTTTGAAAGAAGCTCGATCCAACCTCGATTACGGCTCGTTACGAATTAAAACGAGAAGAAAGATAAACGAGATAAAAGAATAAAAACAAAAGAAGAAGAACAAAAGAAGAAAAAAGAAGAAGAAAAAAAGAAAAGAAAAGATGTATAAAAAGAATGTAAGATCTAGAAAGTCCTGAGAATAGTTTCTATTAGCGCTCTACCTGTTGCTCGGATATCTCATATCCACATGGAATATCAAATTCTCCAATTCGATGCATCCTCCAAGATACTCTATCTAGATATTAATATTCCAATTCAAATTCTTTATATATATCTTGTTCGATTGTCAACGAATTCAACCTACTCAACAACTATTCTTTCGCATTTTGAAAATGCATGATTCATTTACAGATATCCATCTCATCCTCGCTCATCGAGTAAGAAAAATAAAAAAATTTCAAAAATTGGAAATTTAAGCTTTCCACGACCAGCTTTCCAATATTCGATTACTCAGATCAGAATTGAACTCGAGTCAAACAAGTTTAAAAAATCGTTTGGATGATTTTCGATCGATCGGATCGAAGGGCGGAGGAAATTTCCACTTCGAATCGATCGATCCGCGGCGGGAACGAAATCGCAGGCGCGACGACCTTACCGAGGGTCAGCAGTGACGTCACACCGAGGGTGACCCGGGCCGGGATCGCCTCGGGTTTGATCCAGAACGCGATCCAGGACATGACCACGATCAGCGCGGACGGTATGTACGTGTGGAACAGGTGATAACCGAGCCTGCGCCGAAGGTTGAACACTATCTGGATGCAGGTGAAGTTGCCTGTCGAGTATTCGATCGTGCAGTCGGTCGTGTAATTGTTCGAGATGTCCAGCTGGGGTAGCTCGATCTCTGGATTCACCACCAGGGGGTCGGTCATGTTCCATATGAACACCAGATCCTGGGTGGTGTGCGACACTGAAAGCAATCGTTTTTTCGACTCAAAGTTGTGTGCAAGATGTATCTTCATGTTCTGTCGATCCCTCGTGTACGGTTATAGTGATACGTTTATGGTGGAAATTGGATGTTTCGTGCGTCAGGAAGGAAGGGGGATCGATCGATAGTTTTGTATATATGATTATTCGAATAATGGAAGTTTCGGGGTTTGTTTGGTAGTTTGTCGTAGATTTGGATAATTTGAAATTGGAGAAGATCTATTTGCCTGTCACGGCATTCTACATTAATAATTCAATGTTCGATTAATGTGTATGTATGCGAGTAGATTGTGGCAATTTATCTTGGTAAATTGTAGAGTCTTTATGCGAGTTGGATTAATAAATTATAATATCGAAATCGGCAATAATTTTGTTTCGTGACGAAACGATTGTGAGTATGTAGATTATAAGCAATTTTTTTATTAAGTGAAATCGGTCTTTAAATATTTTAGTATTTTTTTCGTTTCTTTAAATATAAGTTCGATATAATAACAGAGAAAATTTTTGAATCATTGAAAGAGATACCTTTCTAATATCAATTGTACTCACAAATTTTCGAGCGAATTTCTTTGTAAGATTAGTGACTGGTTGAATCAAAAAGTAAGAATACGTACAACTTTCGATCATCATTGAGCAAATTTGAGTATCGTGGGGGTAGGACTCGAACTTCATCGCGCAGGAGAGGACGAGTGTCAATCTAGAGAGAAACGAGAAAGATCGATATTAAACAGATGAGAGCATAAGGATTAATCATAGGAAAAATCGAAGGGCGAAATATTCGATCTTACTTCGACATGTAAAGCAAGGTTTTGTCGTGATACAACCAAAGATAATGATTCGGTATCGACATCTCGTGGAAGGTGACCTTCTTCGCGTTCTTGAAGAAGCAATCAGGCCTCCAGATATTGTGCAGCCAGTCTACGTCCAATATTCTGTAATCCTCGGACATGTTCTCCGGAAGTCGTAGTCTAGAATCCCGCCAACTTTGCGCCAGAAATATATCCGCAACGTACGTCTGCAAATATAAATAACATTTATTTTCATTTATCTTCGAAAATGCGATCGAGATGGCGATTGAATTCCATTGGCAAGAAAATATTCGATTAATCTTTGAAAGAAGAATAACTTTTCTAAAATTATATGAAATAACTCGAGTCTCTTTCTTTCCTTTTTCTTTTTTTTAAGAAAGAATTAATTTATTATATGAAGAAAATAATCGCAAGATTTGAGAAACAAGCATCGAAAGATGTTAAAATGTGTGTAGATTTTAAAGAATAATGGAATATTTTCTATGGGGATCGTATAATTCGAACTATATTTTTTACAACACATGATGTAATCGAAAACATACGTATTCGATTCATTATTCAATGCATTTCAAAGAAAATACGTATTAAAGCAAACACTTATTAATTCGTTATTATTGAAATTATCATATTACAGTTTCAATTATTACCACGAATTTACTTGTTCTCTGAAAGAATCACAGGTTTCGCGGGGCGCGAAAACCGGAATAATTTAATTTGAATCGGGTGTAAAAAGCGGCCGGTTATAAATCGATTTTAATTCAATAAGCGCCGACCATCATCGCGTCTTATCCTCATCCCGGTTCATCCCGTCTCGTTCCGCTAATCTCTCAAACGTTTCACATCCGACCGAAACGAGGGGTTTTAAATAAAACACGCCCGTGCAACCCGTGCACGCCTCGTTGGTCCAATTTGCATACGCAGCTTAAAAAAAAAAAAAAAAAAAACGAAAACGAAAACGAGTTTGGCTCGGTTGGAACTCGCGAGATTCCACACACTTTCGAAAGGTGCGAAACGTCGCAGCCAACCGTGTCGCTTGTCAACTCTCTTTTCACCCTCTCCACTCGCCCCCATTCACCCTGCCCTCGAGGAAGAAGCGTGCACGCTTGGGTGTTAATTAAACGAAAGCACGACCCATGCGAAATTACCATGGATTCCTCGTTTATGGAGTCGATGCTGAGCACCGTCACGTGGAAGTAGACGATGGTAGGCTGGCCCAGGAACTTGGGCGCCCTGTGCTTGTCGTACAGCTTCGGGTTCAAAGGGAGGATGTCCTTGAGAGACAAAGAGGACTCCTTTCTCCCGTACTCGAGATCCGACTCCCTGGAAAAAAAAGACAGAGAAGCGAGGAGAAGCGAGGCTGAGGATGGAGATTAATTTCTCGCGCTTTGCCCACGCGGGGCAACCGTGCTCGATTCATTATGGTCGAGACATGCATATTCATAAGATTGTGATTCGTGAAAATGATGATTCTGTAAAGTATTTCGGTTTTCTTTTTTTCGCGCTGTAATTTTTCTCTTCTCTCGTGATCGAGATCGTGGTTAATCGAGAATCGTGATTTTTAAAATTATCGTCACTTGCTTGTAGATAATTTCCATTTTCACGATTCTCGTGATCGTGTTCTTTCGTGTAATTTTGTGTTTCGAGTGTATATCTTATCTTTCGTTTAATTTTATCGATGAAAATTAAGAGGTTATATTGACTCGTGACGGATTGTACGAAATTTTATTTATCGTTGTACTTTTTTTTTTTTCTTCTCTCTTCCCATGATTACGAACGATAACGAATGTCCTATCTCCAGTTTAATTTCATTACGTTATCTTTCATCTCTGATCGTTAACAGATACTCTCGTATTGATTTCCGAACAACTTGTCCGTCTCTTCTTGAGTTTCAACGCGACGAGAAAGAACAATTTCGTACATGTCTGTTTGTATATTTATAGAATATGCTAATCGAGGCAACGTATGTAATCGTTTTTCACGACCTCGACATTTTCCCATGTTCGCTCGCGTTTAAATTTTTCCTCTGCATTATTTCGAACCGTACGTATTAGCTACTTCTTTATGTATAGAATATGGTAATTGCGTGTAAAATGTTCGAGAAAAGAAAAGTGCAAACTCGCCCCTCTTTGAACGCCAAACCTCTAAAATCGTGTGTTTCCCCTATTTCGTTATATCGAAGCCAAAATTATTTACATCGAGCCTAAATAAATTATTCTAAATGAATGTTGTCCAAATAAAAATACCGAATGCGTAGAAACCGCATTTGAAATATATATATATATATATATTTTTTGAAATCATGCTCGAGTAAAATATTTTTATGAAAAAAAGAAAAAAGAAAGGGGAGAGGGGAGGGGAGTGGAGGGAAACTCAAATATTAATCCAGAGTTGAATTACACAGTATATTTTCCAGACGGATATTACACCGATATCCACACATTTCTAAAGATAAACATTTAATATTTATTTTCATCTCTCTTCCTAAAATTTCTATTTTTCAGTTCCCCGCAATCTTTTCCCCGACTCGTAATGTTGTAACCACGATTATCGAGCAGGGAAAGGAATTATCACGACTCAACGTTGAGGATCCTTCGTTATTCGTTACACGATATCCCCTAATATATCCACGATGAGTTATTTTTCATCGCGAAAATATCGGATAGGGAGATCGGTGGGGGAGAGATCGGGGGCAAAGGAAGTCCACGAACGGTGTGGCGGGCTCTAAAATATTGGCGCGATTCCGATGAAACAGCAATATCGCAGAAGCCATAATAGGTCTTCGTGCTTGGCACACCTCCGGCCGAGATACGTGTGTTCCTTACATGCGGACATTTTAATATGCTAACCTACGACCTCTGAATCCGGTTTCCCCGAGAATTTCCAAATCCTCCTTCGACGCGCAATTATTTACAACCCCTCTCTCAGCCGATTTACAGCTCTCGATCTTTCTTCAGAGACCTCGTCGTCTCTCGATCGTGATGCTGCCCGCCCTTTTGGATCTTTGCTTTCTTTGGATCTTTGATCTATGGGATGATATTATAGATAGAGGAGAATATATAGGGGGAGGGATGGATCAAGTTTTGAGGGAATTTCGAGGTTTTGTAAGTACGGACGAAGTAGGTAGTTGGGTATCAGCAGATCTAAATTTTCTCTTGGTCGATGAATGATTACCTTACGAACGTGTTAATGGTGGTTTCGAAGAGTGTAAATTATTCGAATTAGAAGAGGGAATGGAAGAATGATAGTAATATCGATTATCGATTATAAGTGGGGTGATAAAGGGATGGGTTCGCGCGATCGACGTTTATTTATCCGGGAATACGACTCGAGTGGATTGGCGATTCAAATGAATCGTGGCGTTTTATAGCGTCGTAAAAACCGATAATCCACGTAGACTTTTCAGAAATCTTCAATTTCTTCTCGGTCGACGTCGATCGATCGCGGGATACCTCTATGGGATCGGCCATAATACTATCGATATTTCTGTTTGTCGAGCAAACGCCTAACCGGGAGAAAAAAAAGAAATAAAAAAAGAATAGAGAGATAAATAAAGGAGTTAAAGGCGATAGTTTAATGAAAACTGTGTTCTTTGTGTTTGCAGAAAGAGATTTTCGCGAAGATCGAATTAAACGTTTCGAATAAGGAGAAATTAAGAAAGAGATAGAGTTTTGTGCGGAGAAGAAAGAGAAGAAGAGAAGGTGGGATATTTGAAGAAAGAATTAGAGAGATAAAGAAAGAGAGAGAGAGAGAGAGAGAAAGAAAGAAAGAGAGAGATCGAAATTTGTTTAATGATGTCGATCATATGATGCGTTACCTTTCGATCTTGGGAAAAAAACGGTACCCTCGCTTTCTCGCCGAAAGTCGAAACGTACTGGACGATAGGCTATCGACTTTAATATGCCAGCCTTCGACCTCCGTGGAAAGTACCGGTTCGCATATTTCCTCGCTGAAACTCGACAGAGTCGCGGATGATGCTGAGGCAGCCTCTATCCTCGCCATAATTTGCAATCAGAACGAATTTACCGCGATACTTTTCCTATATTTTCTCCCCCCACCCCTTTTTCTCGTATTATTTTAACATCCAAGAATTAAAATAAGGATTCTATTCGTTCTATTCGAGTCGTAAAAATATAAAATTTCTATGATAAACAACACACGTGAAATTTCGTATTATTATTTTCCACGTGTATCGTGTTACATTCATTATCATCGATACGAAATTATATCGTTGTTATTAACGACAGAAAGAAAATTAAAAAAAAAATGACGATCTCTTCGAAAATGTTTCACGATGTACGTCTATTCGTTCTTTTTGCAAGGTAGGCCGGTGTATCGTCCTCCAGAAAAAAAAAAAAAAGGACATAGAAGGAGAACAGAAAAACTCGAGAGATTTCGATCGATGGATCGATCGAGCCCGATCGAGGCTAATCTCGAGCATCCTGCTCCCCGGTATTCGCGGCTCCTATAGCTTTCGAACATGTTCGCCTACTCACGGAAAGTGTAGGGCCGCCATGTCAAAGAGCGTGCACAGGTAGTAGCATAATATCAGCAGAGAGTGTCTCTTCATTCCTGAAACAGAATGATGATGAAAATGAAGTACCGTGAAATGGATGAAGGGAGGAAAGGGTCGAAGTCGTAATTTCGAAAAATATTTCCATTCGAAATTTCGAAATGAATCCTCCTCGACTAAGGCAATGAAACCCTTACGGGGGGAGGAGAGGGGTTGTCGGCAACGCACGAGGATATTTAGGTCGACGTTGTTTAAACTTGGTCGCTCCCCCTCCACCCTTCTAATTCTTTCCACGAGAAAAAGATCGGTCAGCAGCGCGCTCCGAATTGCGAGAATATTTCTAACCTCTGATATAATAAAAAGGGAGAGTGTGAGTGATTGAAAAAAGTTTATCGAGTCGAGTCGATTCTTCGAAAGAAACTTGATTAATTATCACTGGGAGAAAGTTAACGAAGAAAGAGATCCACGAAAGTGGTTCAACGAAGCGGGACATGCATATATGTCCTCGAGAAACGAGGCAAAGTTCGAAGAATCGTACGATCGATCGACTCACCGATCAGCTGCACATTCTACCGTGTCCGATCCTCTTTGTCCAATCGTGCAGCTCTCCGAATCCCCTCGTGAACCACTCCAGAATTCCTTATCGCGACACCGCGGCCAGCTTATCGGCCCACCAGCCGCATCAGCCGCAACTTCCCTCGAATATCCATCAAAGTCGGTGGCCGGTGCGCGTTACGTCGATCTGCGACAGTCGCCTCGATCCTCGAACGAGGATCATCGGAAGGGGAGATTCTCGATCGGGATCTACGAATATTCCTATCGAATCGTCCCTCCTCTTCGCGTTCCACGTCTTGCGTACACCAAATATTTATTTCGTGTACGTGCAATCGGATGGAGAAACGAGATTGGTGGACGACCAATCTCGAGATTTGTGAGAAAGAAGTGAGAAGAGGTATCAAGATACCTCCCGTAGAAATTCACCGGTGGCCAATTTCGGGGCCACGATCCGCGGAGGAAACCCTAGCAAGGATCGGGGACACGACGCGACTCTTATCGGCGAAGGGTTGATTCGCCACTCGGCCACTGGCCACTGGCGGGGCTTGCTGGTTCTGTAAACCACCCAGTCGGTCGCTGCCTCTAAGCCAATTTGCCTATCGACTAACTGATTAAGCCCTACTCTCTTTCATCGTGGTGGACGTGCACGCCCGACCGATGTGTGTGCACGCCGTCCACGTTGCCCTGCGTGAGAGTGTCTTGTCCGTGCGCGAGGAGGGCGGCTTCGTGTGTCCCGTATGAAGAGTCTATACGAGCATTGTTTCCGCCACGAGATACGATTATAGGGTGCGGGCACGAAGATGCGGTTGATTCACGGATTTGTCCAAGAGGAGGAATTAGAATTCCTCCTCTCCTTTTCCTTTCCTTTCCTTTTCTTTCTTTCTTTTTCTCGCGATCTGATGGGTAACGATACTTCACTTCTCTTTTTGTATGTATATATATATATATATTGCTACCTCGTTTCGCTCAACTTGCACAACTCTAATTACATAACGCAATAATGCAACGTCGTGGTGTGGTAACGATAGAAGCAACGATAGAGGACATTATACCATTCGTGTGGTGGAAAGATTGCGAAGAAATGTTCTTTATTTTTCTATATCGGAAAAAATCTTGTAGTTTATTTTTCATCGGATTAAACGTTCTTTGCTGTTATAAATATTTTAAATTTCTCGACAAGGCATTTGTCACAGGATGTTTTCACGGAACGAGATATAAGAAAGTTTCTTTCCACTTCGATCGAAGAAACATTTTCGAAATATTTCAATGGATAAAAATAACGGGGAACAGTTTATTAATCAGAGAATAGAGAATAAACATTTTATTTTACAATCACACGCTTGGCGGATTATGATGAAGGAAATTCTTATCGTACCGTGGACGTTCGGACGGCACCGTTATTCCGGATGGTCCACCACCGCAAATGGAACATCCGAGTTCCGCTCAAAGAGATTCTATTTAAAGGGTGGATGTTTAACAAGCTATTCAACGTTCCTCGCGCGTCTAATGGCAAAGAGAATAATCGGATGCTCCACTTCCGACAAACACAACACCCGATGCAAAATCCTTTGAGGATTCCATCAACGCGTCTTACCTCCCCCCCCTCCTCCCCTCCCCTCTCGAATTTCTCTCCAGGACTCTCTTAACCTAGCGCGAGAGTAATAAAATCTGCCCGTCGTCGTCCCCCCCTCCCCCCGCCGGCTCTTCGTGAACTTTGGATTAACTTTTGCCTAAGATATACGCGCCTCTTAAGAACGCGTATCGCATGGATGGATCATCTGGCGTCGTGAAAAGTTAAATTCGAAATTTCCGCGGGATGCGTGTACGCCTGACCGATTTAAAAATTTATCCCGAGAAAACGTGTATATTTTCGAGATACGTCGGAGATATTATAGAATTTTTCCTTCGAAATATCTTCGGGCTTGGTCTTAGAATTTATGAGCGGATATCCGATATCCGATATGCATGTTAAGAGGTAAGCCGGAGTAAATAGACAGTTTTGAAATAGATAGATGGATAGAGATATATATGTATATATTTTTATTTTTATTTTTTTTTTTTTCGAACGATACACGATTTTGAAAATAAATTTTAATAACATCTCATCTGGTAATGGTATATATAGCAATTTTTAATCCTAATTTTTTAAATATCGAGGAAGTAGGATTCTTTTCTTTAAAGGAAAATAAAAGCTTTTCTTTTTTTTTTTTAAATTTATTTATAATTTATTTATCTATTTTCGCGATATTCATTATAAAACAAATATATTCACATCACCTGATATTTCATCATAATATTAACTCTCACGTCCAATATGAAATGTATACACACTCAATATATACATGTACGTGCGTGTTATTGGATATAAATATCCGTACGTGGTGTATAGTTATGGCACACGCGCGAGTGTATATATTGTACATCGATACCCTCTTTTGACTCCAGTCTAATGAGATTCACCGGAGGTGCAAGTATAAACGAAGAGGGTTTTCCAAGCGGATCCCATTTGAACGATTCCAGAGCCAGAATCCGATCGTTCATTCTACGTCTAATTAATCGTGATCACCTTTCGTCGAAATGCCTCGTCGAAGATGAATAAAAAAAAAAAAAAAAGAGCTAAAAAATCGGAAGAAATGGCTCTTGGATGGAGAAGAAAGATTGAGAGATCCTTCTCGTCGACGAGGATGATGAATAAAAAGCAAATAAAAAAGAAATAATCGTAGATAAAAATATTCTTAGAAATTTTATTCTCGTTCAGTTTCGTCTTTCTACTATCGTTCGTTCCATGTTTATCGTCGTGGAAGCCGATGATAGCCGAAAATATCCGACTCGTCTAATTCCGTTGTCGATTCAAAATTGTATTTTTAACCAGTTGTCGAGATGGGTTTCGGCCGCTGGTTGTCCGCCCCCTTGCAACCACGGCTTTGTTTCCCTTTTATCTGCTCTATTTTCCGTGACGCCGGCGTGCGCTTCCGCGCCTCTTTGAGAGTAATTATAAAATAGCGACTGCGTTGCGCTCGCGCGAAACCAATGTAGAAAGCACCGATCTATTTTGATAGTATAACGGCTTTCTCTCGAGCGGAGAATCTGGATCGAGCGATTTATGGGGCCGTTCAACTCGGCCAACATCGTAATTAATCTTCCATCGCTTCTTGGAAACAATCGTTCAATCGATCCTTACGTTTGTCTTCTTTTAGATAAATTTGTCAATTAATTTTCAAATTTACTTCTTACTTCAGAAATGGCCCATCTTGAATTCTCTTCCTCTTTGAAAATAAGATTGATCCAGAGAATTGATTCGAGAGAAGATTCAATAAAATCTTAAATTCTTAAATTCTTCGAAAACGTTGATCCATCATTGATTTTGAAACTTACCTTCTTTTGAATGGTATCGTCAAAGATTGTTCAAACTTACCCCTTTTAACAATATCGACAACTTATCTTCGTGAAAATATTTTGCAAACGAATTCTTCTCATTCATCAATCTTTTCAAAAATCATCCCAGTTTTTCAAAAATATCTCACGTTGAGGGTCGATAAACATTTCCTATTCTAAATTTAAATTCTTCGGATATCTTACGTTGGTATTTAGAAAAATGATTCGGTAAGAATCGCTAGGGGATGAAAGGAAACCGCGGACAGGCCTGCTCGCCGTCTAACCCTTTTGAATCCAATTATTGGACGAGCGAGTGTTTTGACAGTTCGCACGTTTAAGCGTACAAGGTGCCAGCAGCCGATGTTCATAGGGTGAAATATACCTTTAAATCCTCTGTCCACTCGGCGACTTGCTCGGTGAGCAGGGGTAAGTGGGGTTAAGCTGGCCTAGTCGCTGAGGTCGCGTCAAACATAATCGTAAGAGGGTTGTTACCGGGATATACACTGGGTGTTTCAAATTCCATAACTCCTTTCACGATGTAAGATCATTTGCGTGCTAACATTTATTCGAACAGATTGCACGGCCTTTCTTTCGATAAAAATTAAACTTTTCACAAGATACACAATAAATGTATATAAAATTTTAGAATTATTGGAATGGATGTTAAATTTCGCGAACGAGAGGAGGGGAAAATGTGATTTATCATCATTCGATATTACAATATTATATTTAAAGAACTATTTCTAAACGCGTATAATTGAGTGGAAAAAATTTAATATGAGACAAGTATACAGATATACTGTGTAAAAATTTGGAAGCAATCGTAGTTTTGCACGAAATAATTCTTTATAAATAATTACGAGAGTAATTATTTGTAACAAATATAATATTGACATCGACAACTATTTTTTAGATTAGAAAGAAAAATTAATAAATGGAATGTTCGAAATATTTATTTAAAGACAAACGAAAAAAAAGGTGGTCATATTTTTTATAAGAAAAACAAACACATGATTTTAAGATTTCATCGTTTTTCGTTTCAATATTATTACAGCAATAATTTCTGATTAGTAGTTTCCAATTAATAAAAATAATATATTTTTTTTCCCGTAAGGATACTTTAAATATTATTCTCGATACTGGTAAGATATGGTATTGGTTCAACAAACTTGCAACCACAGCGGAAACGGAAATTTTCAAAAAGAAGAGGGAAAGAAGGAAAATATTATTCGACCGAGCGATCGTGTTTCCCCGTGATATTTTTAACGAAGGAATCCTTAGGTGTGGCACAGTTACAGATTTCATTCAGCCATCTCGCCGACCGATTCGCGTTTGCGTTTGACCTATATGCGTTTTGCGGTCTGCGTTGGTGCACGCGTGGACGCACGTCCAAATTGGACGATCGATCCGTGGCCGACAAGCGATATCGATATCACGAAGGCCGGCCAGCAACGTTCAATTTTCCCTTCGTGCCACTGTTTTGCCAAGATAGACCGCCGTGTATATGTGTGTGCTTTGCAAACAGCTTCACGATTTAATTAACACCCGCGTAACAAACTTTCGCGTAAGAAAGTTCGTTAACCATCGATTGGCTTCTCGATCTATGAGCATTGACCAATTTGAGGGAGGTGGATTGAGAGAACGATCGAGTGGAATAATATTGATCGGTTGTTTGAAAATTTCGCTTTTTTATAGTTCTTTCTTTTAACAATTAAATGAATAGATTTAGAATAGATTAAATCCAATTGAATTAAATAAAAATGTATGGTGGATTGATAATCGTAGTGGTGTATTAATTGTATTTTAGTTCACTTTATATATTTTTATATCTTCGTCTAATATCAAATTGAAATAATCTAAAGACTTGCATCACTACGATACAAATTTATAAAGTAACAGAAATTTATCAACCTCTTATCTTATAATTCAAAGGAGTATTGTTTAATTTTCAAAAAATCGCGAATCAAAAAATAAGTGACTTTCAAAAATTTCACTATGTCTTATTATCAATGCTTGACTTGAGATCTCATTTTAAGACAAGGGATTATAACGAGTAGTCATGTTATCAGATTGTTTGAGGTGAAATGATAAACTCGATCAGCGATTTTTATAATTTCAGAGGCCCTTTGGGGAG